ACCAAAAAAAACCCCCCCCCCCCCCCCCCAAAAAAGCCACAACACAAGAGTCCACACTGGAGGCTGAGGTAACCCAGCAGGATGGAAACCCTTGATAACTGGATGCTGATTCAGTACAAGATGGGAAAGGAACACTGGAGTTTTCTTTAGAGAAAAGTGAGTTAGCAAACATTGTACCAAGGGATAAGAGTTATGGAACATACAGACAATCCAGGAATAAAGGAGGAGGAGGTCACCCCATGAATTAAGTACTGTTCCTAACAGACTTCTTACCTCTCAACTTCCAGCCTTGCACCCTTCAGTCGTTCTCCCCTCTCCAGCAGCGCACAAATCTGCAGCAAGATTCTCAGGTCTCAAAGATCAACCTTTGAACTCTCCCACTACCATCTATCTTACTTTCACTACAACTCTTGAAACAGAAGAATGCATTTACTGGCTTGACCTTTCCTCCTGTTTTTATTCAAACATCCTATTACAGAGCCTGCACCCTTTGTCTTCTGCCAGCTCTCACTTGCCCTCCATTGACTCCTCTTAACTGAGTTGGAGAACAATCTTGGCCCTGCCTGACCCTCCTGATCAGAATCATTCACTTCTCCATCCTGAGTTCGTACAGCTCTCAGCTTCCTCCTTTTCTTCCACATACATGATGATTGAGGAATACGAAGGCTCTTCCATGCATTCTTCTGAAACAGCTGGTATTTCATATGGCCAGATCCAATTGATTTCTCCCTGAACAGACACTTATTTCTAAGACACCTCTATTCTCCCTGCGCCACTTAGGCTTAAGCTCTAGACCATTAATTTTAAAACCTCCTTCAGAGACTGAAGCATTACAAACTTACATTACTTTCAAACTGTTTTAAAACCATATTTCTTTATAAAGTAATTGTGGAAGTTCATGTTATCCATGCAAGTATTTCCTCCAATCCTGTTATTTAAAGTCATGGGGGGGAGGGGCACGGAGAGTGGGGAATGGGGGAAATACGAGTTGCATTCAAAAATTTCTCAAAAGGTATAATAAGAAAAAAAAGTTACCTGGAAGACCAGATCTAAGGTTAGCCAGGTCAGCAAAAGGGTCAAAATTTTGAGATTGTGTTTGGGTGAGAGATGGACCTGAAGACGCATTTGATTGGCTTCCTGTAGTAAGAGCTTGGCCTGTGTAATAAAACAGAGAGGAAGTTTTATACACGGTAGAGATGGCAGGTTTAAAAGGATAACAGAAAAGTACTATTTCCATGACCAAGTACATCAACCCAAAAATCTTCAAAATCTCTGATGTTTCATTGCTTCTTTTTTTTATCAT